ACATTGTGTCATCCTATACACAACTAGAGACCCATTCTAATAATGTACTCAATTATCTGTGAAGTTAATCAGCTTATTGTCAACTCACTTCCTAGCAAGTCAAGTCTCCTTCTAATTCGGTATACATAATTATAGTAGTGTGATAACTTTTCTTAACAAAAATACACTCGTCTTTCTCGTTACTTCCTATCATACATTTTCCTCTTCTGTCTATCCTCCGGAGATTCTGATAGATATTCCTCTGACTTGCATGTTTATCTGATTTTTCCTCTGTTACACTCTTGTCTACGTGTTTCCCTCTGCACCTTTAATTCTAAGGATGATAGAGGGGTGGTTGAGGGGAAGGTATCAGGGGAGATAACATGGTAGGAGCTGCCCTTTCCTCCATCCGTCCATCCCAAACAGATCAAGTTGCCATTATCCACATGCAGTGATGGGTGGAGTAAAGGGATAGAGCGCTATTATCTCTTTAGATAATATAATACTATCGTCCGTCGAGCCACCAAGCTTAAAATGACATGCTTAAACTATGTCAATAAAGATTTATTCCCGTTTCTCATTTGTTATGGATCCGAGGCAGACGAGACTAGCAATGGATACTCATGTCAATATTTTCTTTGGTTGAACAGTTAGGAAATATAACAAGGATTTGTGTGCGTTCCTCCATGGGTACATGCGCATTTATGATCGTTAGTGCGTGTTGTGTTTCCAATAAAAATGTTCACTGCTTATATAGCATGACAGACAAAAACAGTGAGACGGAGGGGGGAGAGAAGTTAATCAAGCATTATTTAACCTGGGTTGATAAGTCTGTAGAGATTTGCCTAAATTGCTTTTACTGTTTTAATTCATTGGAATAATTTATTGCCCAGTCAAAGTTTAATAGCGCAGCTTTGCAAATTCATAACTATGCATAACAGATCGTCCGAGGAATGGGAAAATTACTGAAACACTTAGATATTTACCTTAATTATGGAATCTGTCGCTCCTGTAAGGGCAGTCGAACAGTCCTGTTTAACTATGATTGAACCGCACGTATTGCCTGTTACTGGCGAGACAAGAGAAAATATTTGTTCATTGTGTTTCTTGTATATATATATATATATATATATATATATATATATATATATATATATATATATATATATATATATATGCAATAAAATCACAGTAAACAGGTGACTTCAGAATATGCAAAACAACCACTGTGTCATCTTACCACTGAGCCAGCGATCCTACAAAGTGTTTCAGTGGTAAGGTGACACGTACATTATGTTGTCTCTTGAGGCGAGACAGCGTGTCGCGGGATCGAGCCCTGGCCTGCCGCTGTTTGGTAAATGATTCAAAATCACTTGCTTCGTGATTTCATTGCAATAGACTGCTTGTTGAGGCGGGTATTCAAACAGGATGAGGCTGAAATTAATCCTTGAGATACCACTGCCACGAGTGTCCTCGGATCACGAGAAAAATATCTAGCTCTGCTGGATGCGTGATCTTTGTATGATCGCTGGCTCATTGGTAAGGTGACACGTACGTTGTGATATCTCTTGAGATGGGACAGTGTGTCGTGGGGTCAAGCCCTGGCCTGCCGCAGTTTAGTATATATATATATATATATATATATATATATATATATATATATATTATATATATATATATATATATATATATATATATATATATTATATATATATATATATATATATATATATATATATATATATATATATATATATATATATATATATATATATATACACACACACACGCACATGTATACACACACACACACAGTATTATCAGAAGAAACATCTGTGGTTATGGTGAGCTCAGAGCTTACCATAACCACGAATGTCCTCGCAACATGAAGCAAGTCTAGTTCACTAGACTAATGTTGTTTGTAGGATTGGTGGTGTAATGATCAGAGCATTGTGAACGTTGTCTGACTTTCCATGGGGCTGAGCAAGGTGACGCGGGATTAAATCTCGGCCAGCTGCAGTGTCGTTAATGATTCAAAAATCACTTCTTTCGTGATTTCATTAATGTTCATATACATGTATATGTTTATAAATCCAAATAGTGTAGACAGTTAACCTACGACCTGTCAATCCTCAGATAACCAGAGAGCACAAGTCCTATACTCTAACACTGGATCACATGATGAGTAGTGCCCAAACTTGGAAATGTTTTTAATTAGAGAAGTTTGTCCTAGTCTCTGTTGTCACTCCAAACACAGTTTTTTTAATTAAAGAGTACGACCCCTCTGTCCTAGGTAGCAATGGTAATTCCAGTGCTTTCTTTTCTACAGCACTTGATAAAAGGCTTATAAATCGTGATTAAATGAATTGCAGTATTTGTGTTTACGAAACTATATATATATACACCATCAGCCTATACAGGGACACAACTGTGAGTCTGGGTACCTCTCTGCTAATTAGTTTATTAACCAAAACACAACGATAAATCTGTCCAGCTTTGCTCATCTCCAAAAAATTGATGTTCATATATGTTTTGTATTGGATGAATAGTGCTCATTCACCCGCTTCAAAAATGTTGTTGTTATGGAATGTTTCTTTTATAGATATATGGAAAAACATTTGGATGGTACTGGAAGAATTAATTGATAATCAAAATAGAAATCAGTTTGTACTGCAAATGAACAACAATGGCTTGTGGAATGAAGAATATTGTATGCATTTGTGACCGGAATTATGTGGACAAGCGTGATAGATACCTCGTACGTTAAAACGTTCTGTAAATATTACATGTTATCACTCTCTGTATGTGCCTATATGTATTCTGTCTGTTGGTAAGTTCTACAGTTTGGTATTTCCTCGTATGTACACGGTCTTCCTATCAGTGGATCGTCATAAGAACATAAGAACATAAGAATGTAGGAACACTGCAGAAGGCCTACTGGCCCATACGAGGCAGGTCCTTATCAAAACGACATCTACCTAAAGCTACTCAAGAAATAACTCCCGTATCCCTTGACACCAATCAAACCCAGCCCCTCCCACTCATATATTTGTTCAGTCTCTTCTTAAAGCTATCCAAGGTCCTAGCCTCTATCACCCCACTGGGAAGACTGTTCCACGCATCTACAACTCTGTTAGAAAACCAGTACTTACCATATGGATGGGCTCTTCATAGATAATTCAGGGAATTAGACCTACTTTCCTCTTCCATCTCTAAATCATGATTGCCTGCATTTCCTTCCCTTTATTATATCAATAATATTAACTTGACAGTGAGAGTGCACTATCATACAAGAATTTTGTGATTTAAACGTCTGTATTAATTTATCTTCACTTGTTTTAACTTATCCTCACCTGTGTTAACTTAGTGCTAGTCAAAGGCCTACCATACAGGGGGGTCTTTTTTCGTTAGTGCATTATGCTGGGCAGCAGCCGTTAGCATGATGTCACGGCCTGCCGCCACACTCCACAGTGACTCCTCAGTGCTCACGTGGCTGCCGTGGTGAATGTGTTGCACTTTTGTCTCTAACTGCCCCATCTTTTGTCAGGTGTTCCTTTGGTTTTGTGGGTATACAAGTTTGATTATGGGTAAAAGGAAGTCTTTAACATCTGAAACTATAGCTCATATCATAAAGTTTCTCAAAGCTAGGTACCAGACGAAAGTAATAATGGAGAATGTTGGTGTGTGTGAGCGTTCAGTGAGGAACTGGGTGCAGCGTTTCAAGGCTGGTGGCAGTGTCGAGGGGCTAGGCCAAACCTTGGCCTGGCCCCTCGAAGAAGACATCTGTTCGTGCCTTAACTGTGTTAAAGAAGCAGTTAGAGAGTACATCAAAGGCAACTGATAGAGAATTGAAAGAAAAGAACCCAGATTTCTCAGAGGTGTCTGTAAGAACTGTTAAAAGACGTGTCAAAACTGGACTACAATAGTCACCGGCAGGTTAAGAAACCGATCCTTTCCAAACCACAGAAGAAACATAGGCTAGATTATGCAAAGAAATATCTTTACTGGAATTCTCAACAGTGGTCTGAAGTGCTTTGGAGTGATGAAGCAACATTCACCGTCACCTGTAACCATGGGGGACAGGTGTGCAGGCCCAGAGGTAGTGACCTGCAAGACCTACACTACACCTGTGGTACCACCAAACACTCAGACTCGCTCATGGTTTGGGCGTGTTTCAGTGCTCAGAGTGTTGATGAATTCATTGTGCTTCCCAGAAACCAGTATATGAACCGGTATAATTACCTGGAGTTATTGTGTGACAATTTACCTGAGGCTTTTGACAAGTGAGGGGCTACGGTTTTTATGCAGGATGGTGCATCGTGTCATACCACCAAATCTGTAGTTCAGTGGCTTAAGGACTGTGAAGTGAGGTTCTTTAATGACTGGCCAGGCAATTCTCCAGACCCAAACCCCATTGAGAACCTTTAGCCATTAGTGAAACAAAGTTTACTGGGAAAGGATATCAGTTCCATTCCGCGGCTGGAGGCTGCTCTACATGAGGCTTGGAACAATATACCTCCCCAAATCCTCAAGAATTTGTGTGAGAGTCTTCCTACATGGCTGAGGGACGTGATTAAGCGTAAAGGACGTAGCACCAAGTAATAAAACCTGAGTAAGTATACAAATATATTATAATCTTTCATGGTATGTGTTTGTGTGGGGGAGGGGCGGCATAACGCCGTGACTAGCCCTGTATACTTGTCTGTGCAACGTTATGTTCACCTGCGATCATCTATACTCATTTCTGCTCATGTTAGTAAGATAAAATATGTTGTTTATAGCATTTTATTTAGACTATTCGTTCAGTGGGAACTTTATCGGTTCTCACTAAGATCTGATAATCCCTGGCGGACAACATATCTTCTCATTAAACTCCATAAACTGCATGTTAAGTCTTATCAACCTACTAGTGGGTATATAATACCATTTGTATCACTTCTACTCGTTCGTGGTCACTTGTACTCACTAATACTCACCTGTGCTCACTTATACTCACGTATGCTTGCCTTCCTCCGCTGCAGGTGGTCGAGGAAGTACCTGGTGCTGGACTGCAGTACAGAGATGGCCAAGAGTCTCATCATCGGTCATGTGAGAGACGTCCAGATGGGTCGGCGTAACTACCACTATCTCCTCTCTGGCCTCGTAAGTTTGCCCCTCTTTCCTGTGCATGTGTTAATGGTCCCTTTCTACGTGTTTATGGTCCTGTGTACGTATTTGTGGTCTAGTGTGCGTGTTTGTGGTCTTGTGTACGTGTTTGTGGTCTAGTGTGCGTGTTTGTGATCTTGTGTACGTGTTTGTGGTATAGTGTGTGTTACAATGCCTATGTATTTTATTTTTAAGGGTGCCTCTGTACGTGTTAATAGTAGCTGTGAGCTTTTCTTTAGGCTTTTAGTAGTGCTTTGAACCTAGCGGGTTTGCATGTATGGACAGCTCTTATGTAAGTGTTTCTGGCGCTTGTGTACGTGTTCATGGCTTGTACACGTTATTTATGCAATTAGCTCTTGTACTTGTGAAAGTCTGTTTTTCCTATATTCTACTGTACGAAAGCATGATTTTAAGGCTTGTAGAAAGAACAAGATATTAAACACATGAAAATTGAAGTTAGTTATGTGAAGTTTCAGTCATGTGAGTCATAAATAGGTTAGGAAGTATTTCTTCAGCATTAGAAGTCATTCCAGGCTAGGTAAAATATCTCTATTCTTACAGTAGTTGAAACTCGTCATTCTACCAAAATTTAGCTAGTGGGATATATAATTCAGCCTAACAGTACTTAGAATCCAAACTCAATTTCAGAGCCTTAGGCTTACAGCCGGAGGCTCAGAGTTCAGTCCTTCCCTGTTCACCTAACAGTATGTACTAGGATGTGAACTAATTAACGGTTATAAATATAACCATAATTTTTAAAGGGAGTGGACGGGTAAGCCAGCTGAAGGCCTCGATCAAATGACCAAAAGGTCAGTGGCGGGTCATGGAAACACTTATCCTCTTACTCAGATGTTGGGAGTCGCATCCTAAGAAGTTCCTGGTGTATCATATATAGGGATGGGCTTAAAATTAGCCAGTATTTTCAACGTTGTAAACATAAGATCAAGAAGGAGGATATAAAAATTATGAGACTAAACAGGGTGGATAAGAAGAGGCTACGACACGAAGAGGGAAGTAAATTATTATTATTATAATCAAAAAGAAGCGCTAAGCCACAAGGGCTATACAGCGGAGGGAAGTAAAGAGACTCACGTGGGAACTACAGAGGTAGATGAGTGGCAGAGATGTTAAAAATTGATACATTTTTAGTATGAGGGTGGTAGGTGGACTGAGATAAACAATATTGGTTAAGGTAATAATTGCACACAGTTTCAGGAGCAGACACGATCAAATTGTGGAGTCTAATGGTTAAGAAAAGGAGCCACGAGCTAAAACTCAACATTGGCAAGCGTATAAGAGTACACACACACACACACACACACACACACACACACACACACACACACACACACACACACACACACACACACACACACACACACACTCATATCATAAAGTTTCTCAAAGCTAGGTACCAGACGAAAGTAATAATGGAGAATGTTGGTGTGTGTGAGCGTTCAGTGAGGAACTGGGTGCAGCGTTTCAAGGCTGGTGGCAGTGTCGAGGGGCTAGGCCAAACCTTGGCCTGGCCCCTCGAAGAAGACATCTGTTCGTGCCTTAACTGTGTTAAAGAAGCAGTTAGGAGTACATAAAAGGGCAAGAAGAGAATTAAAAAGAAAAAAACCCCAATTTCTCAGGGGTGTCTTAAAACTTTTAAAAGAGTTCAAAATGGACTACAATAGTCACCGCAGGTTAAGAAACCGCCTTTCCAAACCCGAAAAAAAAAACGGGGAACCCCTTTCAATGGTCGGGGAATCTGTGGGGAAACAGCACGAGTCATGGTACGTGGCGAGGTTCAGAGGGGGGCACCGGGCCAGCGGGGTCCCGCGGGGGTCAGTCCTAGGACCAGTGGTTTCTGGATTTGTGAACGCTGACGGAAGGAAAGACTCTGGGTGTCCCGTTTGCAAGACGTAATTGTGAAAAAAACACCGATCGAAGACCGGAGAACTAAAAAGGGATCTGGACAGGCTGCAAATGGCCCACAATTGGCTCCGGAATTAAACCCCACCAAGTGCAATCAGAAGATTGGGGGAAGGGGCAAAAAGGGCCGAAAAACGGATACGTCTAGGGGGCAAGACTACAAACCTCACTCAAGGAAAAAGATTTGGGGTGAGTAAAACCCCCCCGGCACATCTCCTGAAGCGCACTCAACCAAAAACTGCTGCAGCATAGGGGGCCCCTAAAAAAACCTCAAACAGCATTCCGACACTTAATAAAAAATCGTTCAGGACCCGTACACCGTATACTTGGCCCATATTGGGTTGCGGCACCATTTGGAACCCACACCTACCAAGCACGAAAAGAAACTAGAAAAATTGCAAAGGTTTGCAACAAACTAGTCCCAGAGCTAAGGGGTATGTCCACAGGAGGGGGTTAAGGGGGAAATCAACCTGACGACACGGGGAGGAAGGAGAGATGGGGGGACAGAAACGACATAAAAAATTACGAAGAATTTGACAAGGGGGACAAAAACGGGATGTTCCAGAGATTGGACAAGTAACAAGGGGACACGGGGGGAAGCAAAAGACACAGATGAATCACGGGGATGTTAGGAAGTATTTTTTCAGCCAAAGATCAGTAAGTGGAATATTTTTGGGAAGCGATGTGGGAGCGGATCCATAATAGCTTTAAGCAGAGGTACGATAAAGCTACGGCTCAGGGAAGTGCCTAGTACGATCAGTAAGAGCGGGGCCAGGACTCGGACTCGACCCCCCGCAACCTCAATAGGGGTACAACTAGTGAGTAACACACACACACATTCCCCTTTTTTCCTTTACCATTTCCGACAAAAAACCCTTTAAAAATTTTTTCGCCTGGGGGAGTCTTGGGGGCCTGAGGGGAAAGGTCAATTTACTGCAGTAAAGGGGAAGGGGGCTTCACATGTGAGACAACCATATATGCGTCTCCGCAACACCCCCTTAAAATTCTAAAGCCTATCTAACCTGGCTTAGGGTGAGGGGGAAAGTAGGTGAGAGGCAGGGAAAAACAAAGGGTGAGACAAAAGGGGGAAAAAGGGAAAAAGGGGGGAAAAGGAGGAGAAGAAGAGGGGGAAAAGGAAAAGAAAAAAAGGATGCGGGGGCCAGAATAGGGAAAGGGAAAAAAAAGGGAAGGATTGGGTGAGTGGAGGGTGAAAGAGAAAAGGGGGGGGCGAGAGAAGGGTGAAAAATGTGATGGGAAAAGGGGAGGGTATAAAAAATCCAATATGACCCAATTACGAACACAAAAGTCGGAATAAAACTGGAAAATGATAGAGAGGCTTAGATAAAAACAGAAAAGGGATGGATTACAGCAGAAAATAGGGCTAAATAAGGACAGGAACTGTTGGATAAGGGCAGAAAAATGGACCGGTTAAGTCCAGAAAGGGCCATCTCTAAATTCTTTACACCTTAGGATTAAACGTATTAACTGAACATAAAGCAATACGACATGCCCTTGCTAGCAACAGGATGGCTTGTAAACATGTCGCATAACTTGCAACATGATCGGCACCTCAATACGCTATGCCGTGCAACACTCTTGAGATCCCAACCTTGCAACCTCCTAATGTTTACAAATTGAGACCTTTGGAATCCTTTGTATCACCTGTGTATTTTTGAAGATTTTATCCAACCAGTGACTTTTTCAGTTCAGTAGAGAGATGATATACGAAGACAGTAGATGAGGCACTCGGTCCTTCCGCCATGCAAAACTACACAAATGACAGCGGAAGACGAGGCAACCAGTCCCTCTTAAAGCCACTGTCTTCTGTGTATAGTTCTCCAAATACTTAGGGACTCTTCATCTTCTAATGTCTTTGTATATCATTTCTATTGATATAAAGAAAGCAACTGGTTGGCGAAGAGTCCTTAACGAATTCATCTTGTCGGTATTGTACACTGTTATTGTCATATTGAGTCGTGATTGACGGTAGTACTTAAGACAAGATCGAAAACAAACATGAGCAGATAACCAGCACATTTGAGAATGAAACTTATGACCACATTTCAGTCCGACTTCAACCACTAACTAGTTGGTCCAAATCGGACCGAAACGTCATGAGCTTCTTTCTTCTATGTGCGGGTTATTTGTGTATTGATCTAGTCACGGTATTGCGACTTTTATTCTTTTGGTAAACATGTTGCAAAACACGTCATTAGACAACATTTCGAATAGCGACAGTATTAATGGGGTAACGTTTCGCTCTAAGGAGAAGCGTACATTCAGACCCCAAGGCAAGGTGGAAGATAGGTGGAGCGTGTAATGAAGGATCACATACCTGGTTCAGGTGTGAGGGATGGTCCTGCTGTTGCTGACTTGGGATGTCACCTGGTCAGGGACCGGTGATGCGTGTAATGTGGGGCCAGGTCTAGGGGTGTGAGGCCAGGGGTGGGGTTGGGTTTGCAGTTCATTTGGTCAGGGGGGCCAATAATGCTTCATCTAAGTTCCCACTTTTCTTTCTATGGTATTTATGCTGAACTTAATCTTTCGTTAGAGCAATATATTGATCCAATAAAGCTCTACTTAGAACGACACATTACACCAATAAAGCTCTCCTTAGAGAGATACCTTGTTCCAGTTGGGGTCTTTGACTCTTAGAGCGATACCTTGTTCCAGTAAAGTTCTCAGTAAAGCCATACATTGTCCCGATAAAGCTCTTCTTAGTATAGTGTCCCGATAAAGCTCTTAGTATTGTGTGTCCCAATAAAGCTCTCTGTAGAGATATGTATAAATATTTTTCTGTTACGTGTGAGTCTGCCTTAATAACGACTCGCGCAGTGCGCTCTTTCAGCGTAAACAATAGCAGGCCATACCCCCGGCCGGGATTGAACCCGCGGTCATAGAGTCTCAAAACTCCAGCCCGTCGCTGGATTAGCTCATTTCCGGCATATAAGGCGCAGGGTGATTTTCCAAGAATTTGTGTGTGAAAAAAGCGCGCCTTATATGCGGGAAAAAGAAGGAACCAATTTCTATATATTCACGGAGAAACGCAAAACCCGTAGGGGGTTACACAGCACCCA